CTAAAAGAAAAGAGAAAAAACTTAAGGGTTGGTGCCATTTCTTTTTTCTTTTGATGCACATGTTACCTTTTTCTTCAAAAGGAAGGGTCATCGTTCCATTAATGCTTGTTATTGAAAGTGGAAGTGTGACAAAAAAGAAAAAAAAAAGTGGAAGTGAACTCCCACTAAGTTATTGGATTAAAATTTTTTTTAGGAAAATGATTCTTAAGATGCTTATTCACAATAAAATTTTAAAAAATTATATGATGAAATTTTTATTAATTCTTTTAATTGATGATGAAACACATAATTTAATATATAAAAACTTAATTTAATGTTATCAACTGAGATGACAAAGCAAATAAACCTATTATATATATATGATCTTATTAAGTTGAAATAATGGTTATGTTAGAATTAGAGTTGGAGTTAGTGTTGGAACATATACTTGACATTATAATTTTAAGAAGGCTTAAAGTTTGATGCATTTACAAAAATAAAATAAAATAAAATAAACCCCCTGCCAGGTTTGCCCCTAATTAAAATTAAATTCACAAAAGCGCGGCATAAATAAAATCCCTTGTATATATAAATCTAAGCCCTTGACTATATGAACCTTCATCGTAGGGAATTGGAGCTTCATTAGTTCTGTAGATAATTTCTCAAAAAGAAAAAAAAAGAAGGAAAATCTCTTATCAATAACTATGGCAAAGGGCTTATGTTTGTAAATTTGAGTTGGAAAAAGGGTCAAATTTGACAACACAAAGTCCTGCTTTGGAAATATTTTGAAATTAAAAGCCCAGATTGTAATTAAAGTTTTGAAACCATTCTTTCTTAGAATCATCATCCCTATAAAGTGACAACTCTTCCACCATTCTTTCTTGACTGAAGTGATTATATAATATACTCCGATCCTTTCTGGTTGTCCGAGTAAGCTTGGAGTATACAGCCATGGCTTCAGCGTTATCAATGAAGGATGAAGGTGGGCAGTACAATGGCAGGATCACCTCAATCATTCTTTTCTCTTGCTTAATGGCTGCCACAGGAGGCTTCATCTTTGGTTATGATCTTGGAATATCAGGTTACTCCCATTATAATCATCCTTGACTCTTCTCCTCTGCAGTAATTCATATCTTGTGATGGTTTATGATGACTTTCATTGGAACCGTGTAGGTGGGGTTACCTCCATGACACCATTTCTCAGAGAGTTCTTCCCAGATGTGTACAGAAGGATGAAAGAAGACAAAAAGATTAGCAATTACTGCAAATTTGATAGCCAACTACTCACCTTATTTACATCTTCACTCTACATAGCTGGTCTCATTGCTTCCTTCTTTGCATCACCAGTTACTAGAGCTTTTGGACGCAAGATGTCAATCCTTGTTGGAGGGGTAGCATTTCTGGCTGGTTCAGCACTCGGCGGTGCTGCTTTGAACTTGTATATGCTGATATTCGGCCGTGTCTTGCTTGGTGTTGGGCTTGGATTCGCAAACCAGGTAGGAAATATCAACTCCTTTCTAGATTTAATTTGTTCTCTCTTTTCTATGTCTTGTGCAATCTTGCTGTGTTTATGTTCTAAGAAAGATGAACTACTGATTGACTATGAGTCTATGAGCTTTGGAATTGCTGAGGAAAAAGGTGGTTGTGTTTAACTTGGTCTTACCAGTGACTTTAAAGTAGATTATGATAAAGTTTTCTTTGGTCTACAGTCAGTTCCATTATATATCTCTGAAATGGCACTACCGCAACACAGAGGAAAAATGAACATTGGCTTTGAGCTAGGTGTAGGCATTGGTATACTTATAGCTAACATCACCAATTATGCCACTCAAAAGATCAGGGGTGGATGGGGTTGGCGCATCTCCTTAGCTATGCCAGCAGTGCCAGCAGTGATCCTAACACTATTTGCACTCGCTCTTCCAGAAACACCCAACAATCTGATCCATAACTGCAAGAACCACCAGAAAGCTAAGATGGTGCTACAGAATGTACGAGGCATTACTGATGTTGAGGCAGAATTTAATGATCTCATTAGAGCAAGCACAGTCTCAGAAGTCATCAATCATCCATTTAAGAACATCATGAAAAGAAAGAACCGGCCTCAACTAGTAATGGCAGTCGCCATACCGTTTTTCCAACAAGTGACGGGAATCAATGTCATTGCATTTTATGCTCCAATCTTATTCAGGACAATTGGTGAAGGAGAAAGTGCTTCACTCATGTCTGCAGTTGTCATTCCTCTTGTCAGTACTACCTTCATAATCATATCTATGCTGACAGTTGATAGAATTGGCCGAAAAGCATTGTTTATGATTGGGGGAACTCTAATGTTTCTGTCTCAAATAGTGGTTGGAGGAATAATGGCTGCTTTGTTGGGGGATCATGGTGGCCTAGCAAAACTATATGTTTACTTGGTTTTGGTTTTTATATGTATATACGTAGCTGGCTTTGCATTGTCATGGGGTCCCTTGGGTTGGTTAGTCCCCAGTGAGATTTATCCACTAGAAATTCGATCAGTAGGCCAAAGTATTACAGTTGCTGTAGGCTTCCTCCTATGTTTCATTGTTGGACAAACTTTTCTAGCCATGCTGTGCCAGTTCAAGTCAGGGACTTTCTTCTTTTTTGCTGGATGGTTGGCTGCGATGACTGCGTTTGTGCATTTCTTATTACCAGAGACTAAGAATGTTCCAATTGAGCAGATGGAGAAAGTATGGAGGCAGCATTGGTTTTGGAAAAGAATTGTTGGAGAAGTGGATGAAGAGTAATATCAAGTTTAAATGAGATTTCTATGTTCTTTCCTCACAAGAAAATAGAGTTTGAAATGGTTTATAACTTGTCTAGAAGTAGAAGTAGAAGTAACTGTAAGCAGCAGTAACCGACATGATCCTTCCAATGCTGCAAGATGATGTGCTAGGATTGTATGTGCTTGATTTGAAGCTCACGTTAAGTGACTTGGTTTTAGGTAGTAAGGATTGACTCCGTTTATATGTTTTTTTAGTCTGGAATAGTAATTAGTAAGGATAACGATACATGTATTCTGCAAAATTACATACACTATGAAAAATAACATGTATCATATTTGGTCAATTTTCAGTAAATATCACAGATCAATTTTCTCATACCATGCAAGTTTTCACCTGAAATAGAGAATTTTACGAAAATTAGTATACCATCTGAGTTCGCATTCTCATCTCAATATTTGGTCATCCATGTCCAGCTTCTGTGACAAAATGTGTTTGTGAGAAGTAACATGGAAAATTAATTTATCGGACGCTTTCTGACCTTGAACACGTATAATAATAAGTTTAATTAAAAATTCATCCAGTATCTTGGAACGAAAGTCTTATAAAAATTTGCCAACTTTAATTTCTATCTGATTCAGTTGATTTTATACTCTAGATGTTCTATTAATTTCCAGCATCAAGGACTAATTTTTTTTTTTTTTTGGTAATACCCCTGGTATCTAGAAACCATATTGGATTCTAATTAATTTGGAATCAAGTCGGGTTGAATCTGCACAGAAGAAACTCTCTCAACGTCTATTTTTCCATTCATAATACTAAAATTTAAGATTTTACTTAAGAAAAATCAAACTCTTTTTATTAAAATAAACAAGTTGTTGGTCTAAGGACTAATTTATTTGAGTAGTTAAATGCTTTTCTTCTTGTTGGATCCCAACTATGTTGGCTTTGTTTTTCTTTTTCTTTTTCTTTTTTTTTTTAAATTTGCGATTAAGTGTTTTTAAGTAATTTTTTTACATATTTTAAAATTAGTTTCTTCTCAAATAATTTTAAAGATGCACACCTCATATTAGTTGGATGCATTAAAAAAAATTAATTTTTTAAAATATTAACTTCTTTTTTGTATAATTTTTAAACATTAATTTCAAAACTTCGATTTTACACCCCCAATTGTTTTCACTATGTCAATTTTTTATTTTTTATTTAAAAATATTAAGTTTATTAATTTTTAAATAAAAATATTAATTTTTAACTATTTTTGTTTTGAAATATTAATTTTTAATTTTTTTTTATTTAAGAACACTAATTTCTAACATTTTAATAATAAAATCGTTTGTCACATTATTATCATCATTCAACAAATTCTTAAATAAAAAAATCTTAAATTTTAATATTTATAAATTAAAAATTAATATTTATTAAAAAATTAATAAAATTAATATTTTTACATAAAAAATATAAAATTAATATTCTTATTTAAATCATTTCTCTTAGATTTGGACCAAAGACTGACACTTAGAGTTTGACTTGAACCATGTAATGAATTTAATTAAAATTCATCCAAAATATCTTGGGATCTAAGTCCTTTCAATATTCCACTTGCACCAGGCCTTACTGCGCAAGAAGCTGTTGCGCTTGCACTTGCAACTCATGGCTTTTGTCATAATTAGAGTAACTGCAATGTAAAAGAACTTTTGGCTCATTAATTTAATTTAGTTATTTTTAACGATGCGTATAGACTATAATTAGTAGCA